GAGAAAATAGATTCTTTCATCATTGATACTTTGTAAATTGCATCAGTGTTAATTTTGTTGTGACTAAAAATGTTTTGGGTTTTTTTTTACCTCACAAATATTTTTTTTTTCAGACGGTAACGAAATAAAAACAAAAATAGAAGCCATTCATTGATAAGATAAAGATAACTAAATGGATTGACAATTTCATCAACAAATAAAGGACAAACGAAAAACCAGAGGGACAAAATTAAATCAGAAGAAGGAATCATAATCATTAAAGAATCACAAGAGAACCAATCAGAGGCTGACTGGAGCGGTGAGCGGAAGCCAGTCAACAACTTCAATCTCGCTCCCGGGAAGAAAGCAGATGATTCAGATTTGGTGGCGAAAGTGCAAGATATCCGTAACTGCTAAAAAGCGATGAGAGGAGTAGTGGGCCATTTCACGTTCCATCCATCCATTCATTTTCTAATCCGGTTGCGGGCGTGCTTGAGCCTATCTCAGCTGTCTTCTCGCAGCAGGCAGGGGACACCCTGAACTGGTTGCCAGACAATCGCAGGGCACACATTGACGAACAACCATCCGCGCTCAAACTCACACCGAGGGATAATTTAGAGTGTTTAAGTGACCTGCAATGCATGTTTTTGGAATGTGGGAGGAAAACGCAGCACTCGGAGAAAACCCACGCAGTACCCAGAGAAAACCCACGCAGGCACGGGGAGAACATGCAAACTCCACACAGGAAAGCCGGAGCCGTAATCGAACCACGCAAATCTATATCGTGAGGTGCAAAGTGCTAACCAGTCAACCAACGCGCCGCCCCCCACTTCACCTTCCGCGATGAAGAAAAAAAAGACGAAGTGTGAAGAATGTAGAACGATGTGTGGGAAGAGCACACCGAATTTTTAGAGACATCTAATCTACAGTTTTTTTTTTCCTTTTCATTCAGTAGTATTACATGTCACTTCGTTTCCAGAAATGTTGCTTTCCAGCAGGAGTTACCATTGTGGGGGCTAAGGGCACCAATCCCCCCCCCCCTCCATGAGGAGCTGCAAAAGTGACGGGACTGTTTGCGATTTTCTCCAGATGTTGTTGAGATGAATTGAAAATAGACATTTGAAAATGGAAAGACTTAGTAGAAATACAATGTTGCATGTCCATATTTAGGTTTCCTACCTCATTTGATTATTGTACATAAATATTGTGAGAAATCGGTAAAATAATGATCATTGTCTTTACAAAAACATTACTGATTCATAATAACATAATTCATAGTAATTTGATAACATTTGTTATTTCTGTGGTGTGTATCAAACTGGGAGCTCTTTGCCTATGCTCCATTTTTTTTGTAGGTTCTATTGTGTTTTGGTCTTCTCTCCCCATGATTTCTACTGATTATTAAGCAAGTGGATGAACTTTTAACCTCTATACTGAACCATTATTGGAACTGCCCACTTTACTCTCTGTCTGTCTCACTCGCTGTCTGTCATGCTGTCTGTCTGTTGTCTCACCCTCTGCGTATGTGTGTGAGAGAGAATATACACACACACACACACACACGCGGGGAAGTATTCTCCACTCACTCATGACTGTTGTACAACCACAGCTCACTGATTAACGGCCTCTGTCCCTAAAATGACATGTCGCGTTCCTTTGCGTTTTAGTGGCTCACAACAATACAGAGGGTAATCTATTTCCTGTCCTTTTCTCCTTCGTTTGTTCTATTCGCTTCACTTCCTTTGGTCTACGATTTTTCTCTGTCCTGTTGGGATGTCCCGTAGATGTATTTAGTGTGTGTGCGCGCGGGCGTGCGTGAAAACTACACACCCACTGACAAATAATAGGTCCTAAACGTAGTAGAACTATCAGGCCTACCCAGTCATAAAGTCTCCATCTGAATTGACTGAACTGCAAATAATTTCCTGAATCATTTGTTTGCCCTGAAATGGTTTTGTAAGTTACCGTTTTTATTGCAAACTGAAGAGTGAATTTGTCACAGCGGGGGGGGGTACTTGGAATAGATGGTGATTAAGAACAGTGTTCTTTTGCTTTTATTGTACGAACACATTTATATTAGTCTGGGATATTATGTTAATGGAGCGTGCTTGGGTCTCAATATTATATCCAAAACAAAATGGCCTATAGGAAGGGCATTCTTTACGATTTGTATCCCCTTGCATCACTCTCCTTCAACCAGAAACCTGACTGCTTGCGTGGTGTATATATATATATATATATATATATATATAT